CCTGAGCACTGACTTTACCTGCACTGACAGTCGCCTCGCTGCGTGGAAATGAATGGAGCGCGAGCGACGTCACCTCCCGTGTGTCGAGCCCTTCACACATGCCGCGGCGCGCGCTCCTCCCGCTGCAGGCAGTGTGGACGCGCCTTCACTTAAATATGTAAACAGTTCGGCGTTCATTTTCACACACCCGAACCAGGTCCAGATAAGTTATGCCCCCACCCCCCCTTCATTTGCGCTCTCAGCCAGGCTGCTTCCCACTTCCTCTGTTTTGAATCAAAGATTCTTATAGTTTATAAGATAAAATCAAACAGAACTATATAAGACAAAAAAGAGTAAAATTACTAACTAATGTCATGTATGTTATGTTATCTTGAGTTTAAAAAGCTAATTGCAACAGGAAAAAAGCTGATTTTGAAACGCTTAGTTTTACATTTTGGAAGCGGACTATAATGCAGGTCATTCTGAGTACGTAACTACAGTTATAAAGTTACTCATATCTTGTCTGTATAAAGTGCACATCACTGCTGTGAAGTCGGAYGCGCTCCTTCTCTGTGAACGCTGCCTCACATGGAGCCGTCTCAACCACCTTGTGTGGAAAATATTCTCTGCGGTTCCTCCTCATYACTCATGCTGACCTCATTGTTGAAGAATATTTGTTTGGCACATTTGCCAAAAACAAAACAAAACAAAATCCTACAACCACTAAAATCTGACATCACCCCATGTTTGTTTTCATTTTGTGAAGAAGTCAGTTGCACTGCATGTCTTCTTTTGAGGTTTTCATGTTGATTCCTTCAGTGGTTCTTGGTGTAGCACCACCACAGGCGAGGGGAACACGTTGTTGACAGGGTTTAGTTTCAGATGTGAATACGAACTTAGTCCTGCCTCCATACAGGAGCTCTGAAACCCAGTCAGAGTGACAGTTGGATTCTYGGTCACTGCTCTCACTAAGGTCCAGCGTAGTAGGGCGACCAACCCTTGGAAGATTCCTGCTACTGCCAAACTTCTTCCATTTGATAATTAAAGATGTTAAGAGCTCCTAAAACCTCCAGTGAAGAAGAATTTTGTTTTTGTAGCCTTCCCTAGCTGTGCCCTGTCTCTGATGTGTTCTGGGATTGTCTTTGGTGCCATGATTTGGTTTTTGCCCTGATCCGTCAGCTAGCTTTTCTACTTATGAAAATGTGTCCAGTTAATATAAATCACCACAGCACGTGTGTTTCCAGTCAAGGCATTGCAACAACAGGGAGCTCAATATTAATATCCCAAAGGACTGCAATAAATCACAGACCATTATATTTCAAGTATGCTTTCATGTTCTGATGGTAATAATAGACTTGGTCGATCCAGACTCTTATCGGCGCTGATTCCCACACCTGGTTTAAATTATGATGACATGATGGTTTATAGTGTTTGATATTTTAATCCCAATATTAAACGTGATGTGTAAACATCTCAGCAAAAATGGGAGGTCAGATGTCCAACGTTACAAAAGAAAAGTTATATTAATGTGATATTTTACTTGTTTTTAATTCATAAACTATATAAAACTGCTTTGACTCAGTTAATATGGATAACAGAGCAGCTGACATCTGACAACATCATAAAATTGCTAAAAGTTAAAYGGGTCTTTTGAAGCCAGAGTATGTTTCAAAGTTAAATAATGTAAAACAGAAACAGAGAATACAAGTAGAAACATGATGTGATCAACTAAATGTCACGTTTAGAGTTCTGATAATAAASTGTGTGGCAGTATGATGATTATTATCAGCAGGCCTCACCTTCAGTATGACTCTAAAATGTCACATTTTATAAAAGTCAGCAGGAGTTTGAGTGTAAAAAAAAGGTCAAGTGTTAAAAATATGCACCAGCAGCAGAGTGGCTGTGAGACGAATCAGACCTGTGACCTAAAAATGTTGCAGTAAAAGATTTTCACAGACACAAAAACCCCACTGGCGTTGAAGCCTGTTATACTTGTCCTTTTTTTTTTTCTTCTTTTTTATTACAGGTTAGGTGGAGTCTAAAAGTCTAAAAATGARAGTAGTTTAAAGAGTTTGACATTCTGTGGAATTTGTCTCCTAGACTTTATCATCTTCATCACTGTTTGTTTACAGCAGAAGCAGCACCGTGACACCCTTAACCCTACAGGAATGCTTTGAGAAAAAATATTTTAGATCTGACACGCAGCACGATAAGACTTTTTWGTAAAAGTGAACATCTTAAGCTTTGTGGGCAAAATGTTTTTAAACTTATAATCAGACACACAAACTCAAACTTTAACAACAGAAATAAAGTCTCTGTCCATGCTGTTCCTCCTGCGACTCTAAAAGCTGCAGAACTCTATTTTCTACCTTTATTTTGCATCAAAGCTGGGAGGGTTGATYGCTGAAAAGCAACTCAGCAACAACACAAAGGCTGCAAATTAAAGCTGATAAAGCAAATGGTCTGACCCTGACACATCCAGACATGTCGTCTGTTTTATCACAGCCTGACAACTAACACTTGGAGGTGCAGTACTGGGAATAAGGAAACCATTATGAAATTAGATTTTCCAATAGATCCTGACAAAAAGTAAATAAAATCTTTAAAGATGTTAATTATATTATAAGATATTAATTATAAGATATATATTAACACTGTAAAATAACATTTCAGGAGGAAAACATACTACATGCTCTGGGTCTTTAAGCTGTTTTAATCACAGTGGTAAAATGCAYTGAATTCTACTTGTGTGTTCAAAATGTAAAGCTGCATTAAGCCGCATTATCCTAAAGTAGGATGGGAAGAACTGATGCATACAGTACTATCAAGATGTTAGTGCTGACATGATGGTTTCCTACATCTGTTTTCACAATAAAATATTTCCATTTCAATAAAACATTAGCTTTTAACTTACTTTACTTTTTATCATATATTAAAGCATAATCTTCATTGTTATATATCTAATAAATAAGTTTTATTGATAAAACGTATATTTCCTTATAATTGTGCCGCTGTATCTGAAATAATATTGAGCCTTATTTTGAAAGAAGTTCGCTGGACTTCCGCTTTCTTTCAAACAAACTCAACACACCTCGCTGCTCAAATATCACTTTCTTGAGGAAGGGAACATAACATATTGGACAACTTTAAAACACGRTCTAAAGAATAACCACGTCCCAGAACCTAGTTTATCGGTTTAAAACAAGAAACCTGAACTCTTCGTCACATCTCAACGCTGTAAAGCAGCAGCAGGTCGAAGCTAATCAAAATGATTGACGGAACGCTCCAGCCAATCGGTAGCCAGGGAGGTCGCGGCTGGTGCCTACGAAAGGCTGTGATTGGTGCACAGTGCGTTGCGGGAGGCCTTGACAGATAACAACAATGAGTCAAACTACATCCGGAATTCACGCATCCTGAAATGCAAAACAAATAACCGCAGGCTACCAAACATATTTGTCTGTCTTATTTTAAATAAGGTTTGACTTTAAGATGTGTTTGTTGTGAAACATGGATAATTAGCTTTTCGCGTTTTAAAATGTTAAATTTGTAGTTTTACATTGTGAATTGAAACCGGAAGTAGTCCTACTTCATTCTGCACGCTTTACGGCTGGGGGGTTTGGCTAGGTAGGCCTCGGTGAATACAAATAAGCACAAAGTTTAAATATTAAAACGCCAAGCGCCCTTTCCCGTAAACGTAAAACCACCTAATTAATTTGACAACTACGACAAATAAAGTGGTGAAAAGCTCATTTGTTTTGTTTCGCTTTACTTTGTTACGGAGCTGCCGTCATTCAGCCCCGCGGCGACGCCAACACTGACAGCAGCCAGGGCAGCATTTCACGACAAGTTCCCCGTTTCCTGCTCCAGCACAAACAACAACAACTCACCCGGGGCTCACCTTGCTCATCAACTCGACGGCCCCTCCAGGTTCACATCGCAGCCACTAAATCCCCAGCCACCGCGTTCCTGCGGAGAATATCCATGGTCCCGCACCAGGAAGTCTACAAGCACTTCTCAAACTCTGTGTGTGGCGAAAAAAAAAAACCCGACGCGGATCCCAGAGCAGGCAGGTAGCAATGCGCCGCCCGCCGGGCTGGACTGGTCCGGATGCTGCAGCGGTGCAGTCCGACCTGAGAGGAGAAAATAAACCTCACATTTACCTCTTCACACCGGGCTTTCACTCAAATACACTCATTTTATATTCATTAGAAATAACTTTAAATATGCAAATTGTACATTATTTTTGATAAACTACATTCAAATAAGACAAAATTACATAAAGTCACATGCAAACTATGAAACAAAAAAGTTATTCTGAACTAAAATGGTGCAGTTTTAATATGTTTACTACATTATTTAATCCTGGACAGTGGGTATAAACTCATTAACAAAACACTTGGCAWAATCAAAGACCTACATCAGTCCTAATCAGGAAACAAATATGTGACAAGTTTAATTTTTGCCCTAATTTCAGTTCTTGCTGTTTTCCCAGATAAACACATAGTAGTGGCATGAAGTCACAGATTCTGCTAATAATTTTTAAAGGACATGGTAATCAATATGAAACACAACACGGGCCAAATCATGTGACCTTMTGGACCATTTCTAGTCCACAGGCCACCAGTTCATAATTACTGGTTTGTTACTACAATGCAAAAGTTAAAATGTTTGTCATGATATAAAAAAATCRAACAAAATGGTTAAACACACTTTATTAATATATTTTATAATGCGTTTAAAATAAAAATACAGTTAGATCTTTAAAAAGCCGGTCTTGTGGTGCCGTGCGCTGAGAGGGCTCATGTTTACAGATGATCCCTRATGTTTACATGACAACATGCTCATCAAAGAACTCAGCATCTGCAACATCTGATCTCTAACAACAGATCTGTATGAGAGTCCAGGTTTAAGTTGCTTCACTCGATGTTGACTATCCTTAGCAAACCCCAAATTAGCTAAACATTAGCTACTTTTATGTCCTGATGCATCTCAGTAATCCAGGTAAAAAATCAAAAAGAAAAAAAATTGTATAGGTCTTCTGGATGGGGTCTTCTCTAATGAAACGTTTCGTCTCTCCTCCAAGAGACTTCTTCAGTCTGAGAGTTTCAGGCAAAATTCAGGCTTTTAAGTCCTGCCTCCATGTGACTGATACTCACATCACATGGCTATCGTTGACACCTAATTAACACCTATTGTTAACAGGGGGTGGAGTGATACTGGCAATAGCAGCGCTGTAGGAGGGGGACAGCTGAAAACGAAGGCCCCCACCTCTGTTTAATGATGGACGGTCTTTCTTCACAAAAATGGCTTCTTTTACTCCTCTCTCAAACCAACGTTCCTCYCTATCAAGAATGAGAACATCCTCATCTCTGAAAGAGTGACCGCTGGCCTGTAAATGAGTGAAAACTGCAGAGTTCTGGCCATTAGATGTAGCTCGTCTGTGTTGGGACATTCTTTTGTTATCCTGACTGGGCTTTCCTGAAAGCAGACAGGAAACACAGACAGGATTCCATGCAACCTTCAGGTGAAAATGAAGACCCCAAACCCAGACCCAAACCAGTGGTTATTCCGTATGTTGCGGGTGTTTCGKAGAAACTGAGACGTTTATTTTCTAAACATGATGTCCCAGTRGCTTTCAAACCCCAAAACACATTACGGCAAAGGCTGGTTCACCCCAAAGWTCCRGTGCCCCGGCACAAACAGAGCAATVTTGTATATGCTGTTAAGTGCCAGGAGGACTGCGACCAGTTATACATCGGGGAAACAAAGCAGCCACTGTTCAAAAGAATGTCCCAACACAGACGAGCTACATCTAATGGCCAGAGCTCAGCAGTTTTCACTCACTTACAGGCCCAGCGGTCACTCTTTCAGAGATGAGGATGTTCTCATTCTTGATAGAGAGGAACGTTGGTTTGAGAGAGGAGTAAAAGAAGCCATTTTTGTGAAGAAAGACCGTCCGTCATTAAACAGAGGTGGAGGCCTTCGTTTTCAGTTGTCCCCCTCCTACAGCACAGCTATTGCCAGTATCACTCCACCCCCTGTTAACAATARGTGTTAATTAGGTGTCAACGATAGCCATGTGATGTGAGTATCAGTCACATGGAGGCAGGGCTTAAAAGCCTGAATTTTGCCTGAAACTCTCAGACTGAAGAAGTCTCTTGGAGGAGAGACGAAACGTTTCATTAGAGAAGAACCCGTCCAGAGAACCTATGCAATTTTTTTTCTTTTACTTTTACAGATTATTAGCTTAAATTYGCTGTTTTGGTGGCAGAAACTATCCTCAACACATACTCTAAGCCCAAACTGATCGAACAAGGTCTGCCTTATAGAACCTCAGCAAAATATTTCATGAAACGCTGCAGAGATTTGAATAAATCCTTCAGTGAACAATCCTTAGTTGTAAATCTAAAACTGATTACATTTTGGAGTCAAGACACACCGTAATTTTCTAAATAGACCATTTTAGTTTGAAACTCTGGCATAAAAGATTTTGGTGATATTTATATTAAATAAATTTAATGCCTTAAAATGTGTTTAGGAATAATTTAGCCATTTTAAACAGACAAATTATTCAGTTTGAAATGAAACTGCTTGAATTAATTGGATAGTGAACATATAAATGATCATTTTTGTTTCAAGTCATTTTAACATTTTAAATACTGGGACTTTAAGCAGACTATAGAGCATGAACTTTGTKTTTTCTTTTTTAAATTTTACCTGAATTAAAGTCTGACATGAGGAAATTACATGCAGGTGAAAGTATTTTGAGTTTCAGTCGAACTGATTTGAGGTGCTGGAGGATCTTAGCACACATCCACAAAACTGACTCGATTTTGGGTTCAGTAATTATCTTTGGAAGCTTATAAAGCCGGGATTATTGAGTGGGACTACACCTGATGTGGTCAGATTAAACTCATTTATTTATTTAATTAATTAATTAGTTAATTTTATACACAATAAAGAGAAAAAAATCACACTTGAAATGAAAGGAGGCAGAAAGAAGAAAATAATCTTATTTCTGCCCCCTTTTTTCCAAAAGTAATTTCAAACAATAATAATAAAAACATAATAAATAAAAACTTAAATTCCTTTTCAAACAACTTTTGATAAACATTATACAGTTTCATATTTCTCTAACTTATTTTTATCATTCTCTTAAACAAACACATTGAACCAACCAACATTTTTATAATCCCTTTCCAGATTATT